GAGAAGATGGTGCAACAGTAGGTCCTGAACTGGTAGTTGCTGTGTTATCATTTATTTCAGTATGCTGAGGTGAGTTAAAGGACTGAGGCTCTCTTGACTTTTCATAGATGTCTTTAGGTGGAAATTCTGGCTGTAACTTGGGTACTTCCTGAAGATCCTTTTGTAGGGAGGTGGCAAGACCCTTCTCTAGAATTTCTAACCTGGCGCGTACATTCTGTAGTGTTTCTTTCATTTTCTGCTGCATTTGTCTAGCAGAATCCCATCCGGGGCCTGTGTGTTGAGGCTCTGTTGTAATAATGCTGATTCCCCTCAGAAGGTGTCCTATTCCTTGCTTATAGTTGTTCTTTGCTTCTTCTTTCTGCCCTAATTCATCTGTATTCAAACCTTTATTAACAAATAAAAAGGCATTCTTGTATGCTTCCCTGATAATCTTAATTTCAGCAGGTTCTTCATTTTGTGGCTCTTGCTCCATTTCTGTAAAATAGGAAATATTAACTGTAATTACCTGCTTAGGTGTTTGGTTTGGTTATTTACTACCCACCTTTCCTACCTCATTATATCTCACGAGGACAGCAACCTTGTCTCTGTCTTATTCATTACTACGTTTCCTAAACTTAATTTTAGTTCTGACACAGAGAAAGCACTCGAAATGCAGTCGATGAATGAGTAAATGCTCTTAGACCTAAAACACTTGCTAATTTAAAACCAGAAGGGCCTGCCAAATAACTCAGGAGATTAAAGCACCTGCAAGCAGGCACAAGGGCTGAGGGGTCAATCTCCTATCCCTGGGCCTGCCATGCCGGCCCCGCCCCCAGGGCGCGCTGTGCCAGCAATTGAGACTGGGTATAGTGGTGCGCACCCGTAAGCCCAGCCACTAAGAGGCTGTAAACAGGCAGATCCCTGGTGTCCGATCTAGTAGTGAGACCCTAAACACCCTATAGACCCTGCCTTAAAAATAAAAAAATAAAAAAACAGAAAAAAATAAATCAGTAAGTTTTGTGCTAATTTCTTCTAATAATTTCCTATCATATATCAATCTTTAGGGTTAGGAAAAGGGTCTCATTTTATTTTTTGGCTGGCTAAGGCTGCCATAAGGGCAGGTCTGGTAAGACAGGTGGAGGTGGGAATCGAACCATGGTATCCTGCGCCTGACTGCATTTGCCTGAGCAGGCGCTTAAACAACTGGGCCAACTGGCAGGCCCCCCATGGGCCTCATTTTAAAATGCATTATAATACAAATTCAGATTACAGCTAGCTAATAAGAATTGAGTTGAATCATATGTTATAGAGGACAGAAATTAGAAAAAGAAACTGGAGGGAACGTTAAGATTATCTGACCATCACTAACGATAGCAGGTATGAATAGTTAGCATTAATTTCCTCTGAAAGTCCTACTAAAATGACTTTTAAAAGACTTAAAAGGGCTGGCAAGATAGCGAAGTGGAGCGCCTGCTTAGGCAGATGCAAGGCCAGGGGTTTGATTTCCCAGCCAGCCACACTGGCTGCTGAAACAAAGAAAGAGGCTGGGCATGGTGGCATGTGCCTGTAATCCCAGCACTTGGGAGGCTGAAAAATGGGAAGGATCACTACAAGTCAGATCTGTGTAGTGAGACTCTGTAGACCCTGTTCTAAAAATACATAAAAAAATACTAAAAGACTTAAAGAAGTATAACAATTTTTTTTACTAATGAGAAGATATTAATAGGTACTTTTCAAAAAAAGAACAAACTATTCTTTCTGGAAAATGAAACTAAAATCCATAATGATTAAAACAATATAGGTATTAGATGGCTAAAATCTATAGACTGACCAGTGTTAAACACCTGGAATTCATACTTTGTTGGTAGAAGCTGAAAAGTGGCATAGCCATTTTGGAAAACTGACAAGTTTTGCTACAGCTAAGTAGCTCTATAGCTACAGCTCTACAGCTACAGCTAAGTAGCTCTAGGACCCACTCACAACTACATAACAACATAACAGACACATATACCTGTTTAAAACAAAAAGCATCATTATAATAATCAAATCAGGAACCAAAACCTGTTTCTAGATAACAAGTGTACTTAAGTTGTACTATTTAAACATTCCTATCAAAAAAGTAAAAGGTACTTCAAACATAACTGTATGTAGTTATATATTTTAAAAGATACAAGCAGATAAAACTTTTAATTAGAAAGTTAGCAACTTAGTTCAAGTCCACAAAAAAGTGAAAGTAATAAACAATTACACTTAATAGGCAACAAACACAAGTAGGCTCTAATAAATAATACAGCACTTAGGTTCAGCCTGGGTGACCCTTGCTTGTTTTCTCAGACTCTCGGAGGTGAAGGCAGGACGACTCGGTTTGAACCTAACCTGGCAGCTGGGGTCAGCAAGACCCTAACTCAAAATATGAAAGAGCTGACTGGGGACACAGCTCACTGACCCTGAGTACAATCCTTAGTACACAAAAAAGTACTTGCTACAGCTAAGTATTAATCCACTCTAGGATCCACGCACAACTACATAACTAGGACTTACAGACACATATACATGCAAAAAAAAAAAAAAAAAAATCACTGTAATAGTCAAAGCAGGAACCAAAACCTGTTTCCAGATAACAATGGTGTACTTATGTCATACTATTTAAACATTCCTATCAAAAAAGTAAAAGGCACTTCAAACGTAAGGAAGCATTTATCTTCCTACAGTTAGTAGATGCTACTGTAATGCCTTTCCCTGCCCACTTGACCATTTATGAAGACAGGATTTTACAAATTTACTTATTATTTAAATTATATATTAGTTTTATATACTTATATTAGTTGCATATATTTATTGTGTACAAAATGATGTACTATTTTGATTTTTAATAAGTGGAATGAGTACATCGAGCTAACATACTAATCATCTCACTTTTTTTATGATTTCCAGTCCATTTAATTTTTTCAGAAATTTGGGTGAGGTAGATAGGACAGACCTTGTTGTTTCAGATGAGAAGCAGTTACAGATAAGCAAATAGAGCTTCAAAGGGAACTGCCCAGAATTATACAGGTACTCTCGGGTTTTTTGAAACGAGAGCCCTTGATTTTATCTTGTACAGATCCTGAAATTTACAGTGCCTGATTATTAGCTATATTTCCCAAACGGTGCAACAAATCTCAAGAAACATTTATTTCTCATGTTGCTGTGGAGGACCGGGCAGGTGCTAATGGTATTTTTTTTTCTTCCTTAATACCGGTATGCAAGCTCCTCTGTGGTGTCAGTACCCAAGCACATTCAGGTCGACTGGGAAACTTGTCTGGGAAGCGTCCCCGGTGAAAAACCAACCACGCATCACATTACGTAAAGTTGGAACAGGTCACACGAGACCACCATAATAAATCAATTATACAAGAGAATTGAACAGAAGATAGCCCCATTTAGAACCGGCCCCGTTCTACTGTCTTTCTCTTCTATAAACTTCGAAGAAAAACTGAACTTCTTACACATGAGGTCATTACTTCCAGGTAACAACCCTAAGGAACGCCAACCCCTTAGGACCGAGGAAGCCTCGAGGCTCCGGACCTACCGCAGTCCCCGCACCCAGAGGGCACCCGGCCGCCCGCGAGGCCCGCGTCGCTGCTGCCCCGTCCGGGACGGCGCGCGGACCACGGACAACTTTTCCACGGAGTTCGGCAGAGGCAGTGCTCCGAGGAGCGCCCCCCTAGCGACAGCGACGCTTGTGCTCGCAGGACAGAGCCACTCGCCGTCTCGTCTCGGCTGCCGCGGGCGTGGCCCTCCTGCGAGAAGACCGGCCGCCGCCCCTTCGGGAGGCCGGCGGGGATCGCGGGCGATGCTCGCGCTGACGCGGGGCGCAGGGGCCGAGGCGCGGATGGCAGGC